GCCAGCAGCGCAGGCGGGGAACGTTGGCTTCCTCCTTCAATGAAGGAAGCAAGCCTCATGTTCGCTTTAAGCTGCCTGGCTGCCGGCCGCCATCTTGGCTGTCAGTTAATTTGCATATCTCCCTGATTAGCCAATGGGAAGGGTAGCGGTCGTACGCCAATTACCATGTTTCTCTTTTATTAGTGTAGATATATATATATATACCTGAATATAAATGGAATACACCTGCTTTTTTGATAAACATTTGATAACGTTTTAACTTCTTTTAATAAATATTGATTAGGTATACCTACCTCAATCTTTTCTTAGCCTTCATACATATAATAAATAAATAGTTAAGGTTTGTGAAATAAATGAATGTTAGTATGTAGTGGAGTAACTTAAGCCAATTTGATCTTGCACAACTTAACTTTTTTTTGTTAATTGTAGCCACAGAAAATGTTTGCGAACCTTAGAATAACATTTTTTCTCCCAAAATATTTACAATTTACAGTGTCAGTGAGCCTCAGACTATTCAGGCAATTATCGTACATTTAAGTAGCTGCACACTTGCTAGCAGGCAATTACTAAAATATTTCATCAACCTCTTCACTAACTTCAAGCCAAGTCTTAGCTCTCTGTCTTCTCAGATGCTTAGAGAAGTACCTGTGCAAATGTTCATTCAAAGAAAACATACCAAAATTCAAAGTCAGAGTTCCACTCGTCTCCTAACAAGAATCCAACATCTGAAATTCCTGGGTTCAAGGCTGAAAAGGGCCATTTACAGGCTTAGCTTAGGGCTTCATCTATAAGGGTAGTAGTGATAGGTCTTGCTGTGGTATGGTCTGTTCAGCCAAGGAGTACATATCTCTAAAATAATTTCCCCAATCTGCATTTTACTCACCCTATCACTGAGAGCTCATTTGCAATATTCAAAATGCTTATCGAAGATATGTTCTTTGACTAATCTCTTCACCTTCTTTCATCCAGTTCCCCAACTCCCCTCCCCTCTGACTGTTGTCAGTCTATTCCATGTACCCATGGCTCTGGATTTATTTTGTTTGTCAGTTTATTTTGTTCATTAGATGCCAATTATAAGTGAGATCATATGGCATTAGTGTTTCCCTGTCCAGTTGATTTCACTTAGCCTAATAATCTCTAGATCCATCCAAGCTGTCACAAAAGGTAAGAGTTTATTTTTCTTTTTTTAACAGCCACATAGTATTCCCTTGTGTAAATGTATCACAACTTTTTTGAGTGTCTTCAAAAAATTAAAAATGGAATTTCTTTTTAACCCAGTGACCCTGTCTTTTGGAATATATCCTAAGAATCCTAAACACCAATCAGAAAGACTATATACACTCCTATGATCATAGAAGCACAATTTACAATAGCTAAGATCTAGAAACAGCCCAGTGCCCATTAAAGAGGAATGGATAAAAAGTATATTCTTGAGGCGGGACCAAGATGGAGGTGTAGGCAAACACCTGCACTTGCCACCTCCCACAACCACATCAAAATTACAACTAAAATACAGGACAACCATCATCCAGAGCTTCCAAAAAGCTGGCTGAATGGAAGTCCTACAACTAGAGAAATAAAGAGGAAAGCACACTGAAACTGGTAGATGTGGAGGCAAGGAACAGGCTGGTCTGACACCCATGTGTGCTGCTTTTTTAATTGGGAAGGAGAACCTCTCTTTGGAGGCTGCCTGTGAAGAGCGAAGGGCCCCAGCCCCACACCAGAAGCCTAGCCCAGGGTCCCAGAGCTGGGAAAAGAAGTCCCTGTAACTACAGGCTACAAAAACTAGTGCAGATTGGGGCTCAGTGATATGGAGACTGCTGGAGACCCAGCTGTTCCTCTTTAAAGGCCAGCATCCCAAACTGAACTTATAAGGTCCTGCTTCCTCTGAGCTCCAGCACCAGGGTGAGGCTCTGGGGGACACATTTGTCTGGCATCGGGGAAAGAACTTGGGGGTGGCTTTCTTCCAGATGGAGGTGCTCCCAGGGATCATTGTTCATATGCTGGGACCTCCCTGGTCACAGGGCTGACTGGCAGCCATTTTTATTTGTTCCCCCATGGTGATTCCCAAAGGCCCCGCCTCATACAGTTTACAACCCCACCCAAGCTGCCTGCAGCAGCTTTTGCATATGAATGGCCTGTCCTTGTTCAGGCTAAAACCTCTCATACAAGCTACAGCTGGGTCAGGTAGCCCCAAACCTATCAATAAAAGGCCCAAGGCCCAGCACCAGCACCAGCCTGCCTTGCTTCATATCTGGGCCTCATCTGGGCACTTCCAAACTTGATACAAAGAGGAGGAAGCTGCAGATCTCTCTGGATCGCCTGTAGGGTGGCCCTAGGCAATGCCTGACTTTGCACCTTGCTGGAGACTCAAGAGCAAGTGTACCCAGTGGTCAGTGTCAGACCATACCAGATTACAACTCTTCAGATCCATAAGCAACACACTCAAGGGGCAGACTCAGTGAGCACTAAAGCCCCACTGAAGCAAGTCCTGCTCCATAGCGGTGTCTCCTGCATATCAGCTCTCCCACTGTAATCACAGCTGGTCCTTACAGCCAATTGGTTTGGAGGTCAATTCCTCCCAGTGACACCAACAACAATCAAGTCTCAACTACAACAAGACTGTGCTCACAGCCCACAAAGGGGTGCACCTAGAGTTCCCAGCTCAGGTGTCTGGGGAGGTTGAGCCATTGGGACCTATAGGACACCTACTACACAAGGCCACTCTACCAACTCAAGGAGACATAGCAGCTCTACCCAATACATGGAAACAAACACAGGGAAGCAGCCAAAATGTGTAGACAAAGAAACATGTCACAAATGAAAGAAATGGAAAAAAGCAAACTACTGGATATAGAGTTCAAAACCAAAGTTATAAGGTTACTCAAGAATCTTCTGGAAACCTCCAAGGCAGTAGTCGCCAAACTTTTGGGCCTCATGAACCATCAGTGGTCCACGGACCACCAGTTGGTGACTGCTGCTCCAAAGGTTTCCTTAAACCAGCAGTTGCCAACCTTTCCGACCTCACGGACCACCAGTGGTCTGTGGACCATCGGTTGATGACTGGTGCTCCAAGGGACTTAGTGAGTCTTTTTTTTTTTATGGCTTTGGACACGATAAAAACCTTTATTTACAAATATTCTATTCCTTTAAAAAATGTATATATATACAGGAAAAAGGATTTAGATAAAATATGATAAAAATCACAGGAAACAAAGCCAAATTCTTATCAAATCAAGGAGAAATTGGTGACACCCAGAAAATCAAAACCAGTCATAACATTTACAACAGGGTCAGGACAAATGTGTGGAAGGTTACCCTCGCGGATATGATGCCACTTGGCACCATTGCTGGGTAATGACTCTGCTCCTGCGGCCTTTGTCATTGTTAATCCCAAGGCAAATATGTCTCCTTTAGGGAGATGCTGATAATCCTCTTGCAAAATCTCTTTAGCTAGGAAGTGAATATCTCCCTCTTCCACTTTGGGTTCGCTTATTGATGTTGCAAGACCCAAGTCTCCAATGTTGTATATCACATTGGTAGAGAGAAACCAATCAGCATCATTTTCAATATCTTCTTGGACTATAGGAGAGTCCCTTTGTATCTGATGACAAATGAAGATGTTACTTGGTTTGATGTCCAGATGCACCATGCCAGCATTGTGGATGTACTTGAGCCCAAGAGAAATCTGCAGAAGGATGTCTTTGAGTTTTGGCTCTTCACAGTGATTGCCAGACTTCGTGTTTTCAGATATAGCAGCCTATAAGCTCCCACCATTGCAGTATTCATTATGAATGATCATGTGGTCATCTTCTACCCATGCAGAGTAGTAACGTACCACATGGGGGTGATGATCAAGTACCGCATGAGCATAAACTTCATGCAAAACTGAATTCTCATTTGATAATTCTGCAAAAGAGTTCGTGGAGCATTTTATTGCATAGACACATCCATCCAGCCTCTTAATGCACTTGTAGACTGTACCAAATTCCCCAACTCCAATCTTTTCTACCTCCATGAATTCTTTTTCATAACGGGAAGTCATGTTGGTTTCTCGTAGAACATATCTCTTGGCAGGCAGCCCTTGTTCTACTTTACCTTCCCCCGGATCAGCTTCCTCGAGATCTCCTCGGATTTTCCTCTTGCCACTGGATTGATGGAACTGTTTTCTATAGGACTCTGGGGTGAAGGGATTAATATTAACCAGAGATAATGAGGTCATTTCATCTGTTAGGGAGACAGGTGTGAGCCTAAAATGCTTAGAGCCTCAGGAGGGCAGCTTCCCTGTTGAAGAAATCATGGACTGGCTTGGCTGGCCTTTGGGAGTGACAGGACTCTCGCAGTACAACAGCTTGCTTCTGTCATCTGGCTGGGCTGGTGTTGTAGGACACTTGGGTGGTTCTGACACCAGGGTCCCAAAACCAGGCTCTGTACTCACTTTGGCTTTTTCCTGAAATGTGTGGAGTCCGCGTGCGTCCCTCAGGGGTATCCTGGGTGGTGTAAACAGGGCCTCTGAATCCTTGGATTCAGACTGCTCTGGGGAGAAGGTCTGGGCCTCCCAGCCCTCCGGTGCTTCCTTATGCTCTTTGTTCTCACTCTCTTCCTCACAACAGGAGAAGTTTAATTTCTGCTTCAGTTCTCTGTTAATACTGTTGTCATCCATCTCAGCCAAAGAACTTTCCACGGTAGGCAAGAAGGCCTGTCAGAGGGGCACAGTATAGAGATGCAGAAGTCGGGAGAGAACCTAAGCCAGCCAGTTCCACAGTCCTAGCCTGCCTTTCCCTAAGGCAGTAGTCACCAAACTTTTGGGCCTCACGAACCATCAGTGGTCCACGGACCACCAGTTGGTGACCGCTGCTCCAAAGGTTTCCTTAAACCAGCGGTCGCCAACCTTTCTGACCTCACGGACCACCAGTGGCCTGTGGACCACCGGTTGATGACTGGTGCTCCAAGGGACTTAGTGAGTCTTTCAAGGATCTTAGTGAGAATGCCAAAAAAATGGAAAAGGACTGGTCAGAAATTAAGCATACACTGACTAAAATAAAGAATAATATACAGGAATTCAATGGTAGAGTGGAGGATTCCAAGAATCAAACAATGATTTGAAATATGAGGGAGCAAAAAACACCTAACCAGAGAGAAAAAAGAAATAAGAATTTAAAAATATAAAGATGGTGTAAAGCAAGCATGTCAAACTCGCGGCCGGCAGGCTGCATGCTTCATTTATTTAAACAAGGCATGTGGCCCACTGGCCACGAGTTTGACATGCTTGGTGTAAAGAACCTCTGGGACAACTTCAAGTGTACCAACACTCACATTATGGGGGTGCCAGAAGAAGAGAGAGAGCAAGATATTGAAAACCTATTTGAAGAAATAATGAGAGAAAACTTCCCCTACCTGGTGAAAGATATAGACTTATAAGTTCAGGAAGCACAGAGAGTCCAAAACAAGAGGAACCCAAAGAGGACCACACCAAGACACATCATAATTAAAATGCCAAGGGCTAAAGACAAAGAGAGAATCTTAAAACAGCAAGAGAAAAGCAATTAGTTGCCTACAAGGGAATGCCCATATGACTGTCAGCTGATTTCTCAGCAGAAACTATGCAGGCCAGAAGGGAGTGGTAAGAAATATTCAAAGTGATAAACAACAAAGACCTACAAGCAAGATTATTCTACCCAGCAAAGCTATCATTTAGAATTGAAGGTCAGATAAAGAGCTTCACAGACAAGAAAAAGCTAAAAGTTTGGAGATCTTCACCACCAAACCAGTATTATATGAAATGTTGATGGTTATTCTTTAAGAAAAGGAAGAAGAAGAAAAAGATAAAAAATATGAACAACAAAATGGCAACAATTACATACCTATCAACAATTGATTCTAAAAATCAAAATAAACAAATAAGAAATCTAATGAACAGAATAAACTGGTGAATAAAATAGAATCAGTGTCATTAAATTGGAACAGACTGATGATTCTTAGAGGGAAGGGAGTGGATATGGGAAGAGATTAAACAAAGATCTTATATGCATATATGCATTATGTATGGACACAGACAATAGGGTGGCAAAGGCCTGTGGTGGGGTTGGAACTGGGTGGAGGGGGGCAATGGGGTGAAAAAAAGAGGTACATCTGTAATAATCTCAACAATAAAGATTATATATATATATATATTCTTTGAAATGCTGAATGCATTTTGGGTTATAGCTTAACCTAAAAAGCACACAATGTCATAATCCATGGTGAGGTGTTTTTGAAGAATCACACTTGTCATAATATGATGGGAAAAAATGAACATTAACAATGTTAAGTATATTTTGTTCTGTTTCTATTAAGTTTTCAGTAACTTTGGATCAGTTTTCTCTGTAGGAAATAGTCATTCTTACTCTTAAATACCAACAAGCTTCACTTACAAAATGGACAAAATGATAATAGTTCTAGACTATGTATTGCTTTACTTAGAAATTGTCTTATTTCTTCAGACTATCACTTTTCTGAGATTAAAAAATCATAAAAGCAAATAGATTTCCCATAAACTTATATTAAAAGATTTTCAAAAATATGCGGGCTATACATTTCAAGCTATGTTGCATCTAATGAGCTGTTAAATATTAATTTAATTCTTATCTAAGATAACCACTGGCATTTTAAGCTTTTGCAACCTAAGAAAATTATTTGAAATGGAAGAAGATATTTTCAGTCTTTTTGACAAACTGAACAAAGAAACAGAGAAATGCATACTTTGTTACAATATAAATGTTATGCCAGTGTGGCTCCACTGAAAGAATCACAATGTAGGAAGAAAGAAGAAAGAAATGTACAACTAATAAATAACATTTTCCTTTATGGGTTTGTATAATTAGATCACCTGCCACAAGGGGGGAAACTATCTTGCAAAAGTATTCAATTCTTGGTAATAGAAGGACAGTCAGAAATGTAACAAATTGTCCTAGATTCATGTGCCCTTATCTAATTTCTTAGTAATTTCTGATTAGTTTTTAGTAATTCTGTTATTCCTGTAAGTGGAAGCCTTAAGTAAAAGCATGCATTAGGAGTAAAATTTATGGGATATAATGTATCATTGCGGGCATTTTCATTACAAAAGCCACATCTCTCTAGAATTCAGTTTCATCATTTTAAAAAATATGACATTTCATACACCTCCTCTCTTTCAAACACATAGTAGTGGCTCATAAAATATCCAAAAACAGATAATTAAATGACGGATATGGGCTCCAAAACGAGATAACACTTTCAGACAAGGAAATCAGAACACACCACGGCCATCAGTGCTGAAGCCGCTCCTGGTTCACTTTCACTGCAGAAGGAGGTACGGGCATGCAGGAATTTAGTGAGGAAGATGCAGGGCAGGGCACAAGAGGTGAGAGGAGGTTCTTCTCATTTGTGTAAAAGGGCCAAAAAGCAAACACATTGCAAAGCACAGCGTGCGCTCAAGCTTGGGGATGGGACAGGAGGTCAGGGCCGTGCAAAGTCATTTTAGAGCCTGAGGCAAAAGGAAAGGTGTGCCCTGAGACACACTTATCAAAATGTCCTCCTATATTCTGACCAAGAGAAAAAAGTGAAGTAAAATTGCTGACCAATCAGAAAACATAATTATATACAAAGTCCCATGTTCAATCCATTTTTTAGTCACTGCAATCTCATAAATCCAGGGGTATGAGATTATTGGAAAAGTGTCCCCAATATAAAATAATTTAAGATAACAAAACAATCATTCTGTCCTTATTTTAAAATTTTGTGTATTTCATTTTATAGTTGTTAATTATGAAACTTTGCACTAATTTTGATTTTTTTAATATTGCATTTGATATTATTTATCTTGATTACTGAGTTTTTGGTATCACCTTAAATTTTGCATCCAAAGAGAGTGCCTCAGTATCCTTTTCTAATCCTAATTCTGGCTCTGTAGAAGGATATGGATACAATTCTGTGAACGATAGATAAAGAAAGCTCTCTCCTGATTTTTTGACTCTATTATCTCTGTTACCACTATGAGCTGAAGAATGGCCTTATATAACCTGCTGGATCTCTGTAACACAACCTGAGGAAGATAAGTTTAGCATAACAGTTTGTGCATAGTTGCTGGGTGCTGTGACTCTTGAAATTAACATTTGTTAAGTAGAACCCCTGGATGTCAGATAAAAACCAGGGCTCAAAAACAAGACCTGTAGGGAAAATGAAATAGAAAAGTTTATAAGTTTATGGAGGTCTTGGAGGAGGTATATACACCTCAAGGGGCCACAGCAGGAAGAGGTCAAGTCAAGGTGCTAGCAGAGACAAGGAGGGCAAGCCCTGAGGCTCAGGCCTTTTACACAGTCCAAGGATGGAGGAATGTTTTGCAGTTCCCAGGTGAAGTCCAGATTGGTCAATTCAAACCCAAAAGAGTAGGGTTTCAGTAAGTTTCCAGGGGGTCTTTCTAAGGGGCACACAGGACTGCCCTAGGAGTAGGGGGAGAATGTTTATCCCAAAGGCCTTGAGGGAACCATATCAGGAGCTTATATTTACTTGTGACTTTGCCATCTGTTATCTAGAGCATGTGATTATGGGAAGGGCTGGTGTCAGCTCAAGGCTGCTTGGCAGCACAAAATGGATCCTTAGGCAGCAGTATTATGAAGTAGGTTAGCTAAAGCCTCACAATGGGGGACCAGAATACTTCTAGTGTTTTCAGTCTCTTGGAGAAGTATATGGTTCTCATTTTTATCATACAAAAATGGTTCTCCAGAAATCATATCAATTTTCCAAGCAGTAAGACAAAGAAACAAAGGAGGGAGCATTTCCCCTTTTCCCTTCTCTTATTCTATTAGCTAGATAATACTCATAAGATCACAAATAACTCTAGACTAGGAGGCCACAGTGTACAGTCTATATTCCAGCTGACCATATGCACAGCTACACTGTACGTGTGCTATTACTGTAGAAAAGAGAGACTGAATCTCTGGGACAAGCAGCAATCTGTGACACAAATTTTGAGCAAGTAATTAATATACATTCAATTAGTAATCAATTGAATTTAATACTAAATATATAATATTTATGTAAGGAATCCTATATAATAAAGAGGTAATATGCAAATTGACCCTCACTCTGTCACACTGTCACAAGATGGCTGCACCCACAGTGGAGGTGGGGTTCCTGTAACGAGCCATAACGAGCAATCAGCAGGGACCTGAGGCTGTGCCCCATGCCTGGTGGGGCTTGACGGGAGACCTGAGGCCATGCCCCCCACCCTGGCACCAGGCCAGGGGACCTGAGGCCATGCCCCTGGCTCAGCGAGGCTTGACAGGGCACCTCATACCACGCCCCTGACCTGGCGGGGTTTGAAGGGGGGCCTGAGGCTGTGCCCTTGTCCTGTGGGGCTTGACAGGGGTGGGGCCAGCCGGGTCTGGATCTTGCCAAATGGGGGTGGGGCTGGCCGGGTCTGGGTCTCGTGCAATTTTGAGGTGCACATGGGTGGGCAGGGACTTGACTCTGGGTCCCACAGTGAGCCCCAGACTCTGAAAGGAGGAAGATTTTCATATACACTTTACTAATTTTCTTCCATCTCTGACACTTCTATTATAGAGAAAGGGAAAATAGCAATATTAAAATATTTCCTCTAATTAATTCCCTTTTAATGTGCACGAATTTCATGCACTGGGATACTAGTATAATAATAAGACTAGATGCAACTAA